TATGCCACTTCGATCCCCCGGCAGGACTTTTACGCCGCGCGTTTCCAAAGCCCCGCGGCGAGAGAGACGAGTCTCTTCACCGTGTGTACATACATACATACAGATATATATATATATGTATGTACGTATGTACGTACGTATGTATGTATGTATATATACACATACATACGTACATACCTATCCGACGACGGTGCAATTTGCATGCTCGTCCTCGTTTTAAAGCCTACCGGTGATTTCCGGCGTCACAGTTTCTATACCGGCTACGAAAACTCGACCCGGATCCGACCCGGTCCCTTCAACCCCGGCGCGTTACTGTCAATCCCCATCTCCCAATGAAAATGATCTCCCCCGGAATTAATAAAATATCGACGCCGGATATGCACGCCGTCGGAATATATATTTAAATTGGCCGCGCGCCACGGTGTTTTTTTTTTTTTTTTCGCAAACAAACGTGTTCCGTAACTCTTGTTTTATGAAAGGAGTTTTATCGCGTCGCGTCCGGAGATGCGGTTTGCACCATTTTTCATATTCATGCGTGTTCGAAAATCACGCGTAAGCAGCGAAACAGGGAAAAAGAAACGTGCGACGAAATCTTCCCTCGCTAACTAAAAATGCGAATGTCCGTGACGATCGAGGATCGTCAATCGTGTTTTTCGGTTCTAGCGCTGTCAAGTTAAGTCGCAGTGTAATTAGGGGACACACATACGTCGTTTCGTTGCCACACGTGTCCACGAAGATGACGTACATTCGCGAAATAAATTCGTTAATAACCAGAAGGAGGAAGAAAGAAAACTAGCAAAGAAAAGCTACTCTGAGACAACGGTAGCGATCGTGTTTTCCCTGAAGATATTAAAATATCGACGAAAAGAAAAAAAAGAAAACAAAAAGAGAGAGAAAAAGAAGGACGGCCTACTTTGACCCATTGACAAAACTGAGGGGAAAAGTTGGAGAATCAGCCGCGAAACGAAACGAGCAAAGGCAGAAGCACGTGTACCGGAGAGCCGCGCAGGAAGCCGAGGTCTTTCCTTTGAATACGCTTAATTGCGAGAACAGTTTCGTTTTCAGGAGGGACTAGACGTCCCTGACGAGGAGCACGGAAATGATTAACGACAAAAGGCGTCCTCGTCGGATCACGGAGCAGGAGCGAGACAATCGAACGAATAAAAGAAAGAATAAATCTCTAAAACGTGAACGAAACGAACGAGACCCTGTGCAATTATACTGCGTTGGCCTCGCAACTCCAGTTACACCATAATGGATGGAAACATTTTCGTTATTGTTTCGCCGTTCATTCGCGACGTACATTCGAATTACATCGGGGGAATTAAAGATAAGAAGAAGGACCGCATCCGATCGTTTCGAAACGACTAATTTGACAAAGTTTGTCGACAAACCCGAGTGGTTTACGAGCCGACCTATCCTCGTGGATTAAACGATCAGGATATAAGGGGATTTATCGTTCGTTTACTCGACAAACATCGCGTTTGTTATCCACGATCTTACCTCTCGTAAAAAAAACGCGACGCCGAAACAGCTAAGAACTGCGAACTAGGCAGATTCAACAGTTGCTGGCAGTTGGAGAGATTAAAATTCTTCGAAACGAATTTACCTCGGGCAAGTATTCCCATTTCTCTGATGCAGCCTGGAATCGGGAGGTTGCACCGAGAAAGGGAGAAACAGAAAGAGAGAGAGAGAGAGAGAGAACCAACGTGGGATAAATATTTCTTTTAATTAAAAGAACACGTCGCCGACACGACGGAGGAAATTCGATAACGAAGGAGGATGAGACCGGCCAGTCCAGGAAAAATTAAACAGAGGGATGATTTAGTCGATCGATCGAGTAGGAAACGGCGGAGCCTCGCCAACCGAGGCGATTCGGTTTATTTGGCAAATATCGAGTCGAGGTGATCTTGGATTCTTCCTGGTCCGGAATGACGGTGGCGTTGCAGCAACGCGGCAAGAACCGAGCTGAACGCTTTCCGGAGAAAGACAGAAAATCTCTGGGAAAGACAGACGGGGAAACGAAGAGAGGAAGATCGAAAGAG